AAAAAAAAAAAAAAGAATTTAGAACTGCCCGGTCTCAACAACATCTTCAAAAGTATCTACCTCTCAAACCCCTCATCAGCTGCTCAGACTGGGGGGTACGTGAGATTGAGCGGGATCACTTTAAGGTGTGTTCATTGACGCACCAAGTCACCCGCTCCTGCTACGCCCCGGCCCTGCCATCACCGCAGATGTGTGAAACCCCAGCAGGGAAGGGGAGCCCCAGTACCTGAACAGGGCCTTCTCTGCACCCAGAATCTGCACGGTGGAGGCCGGATATTTGGCTAGGTTTGTCAGACTGCCGGCGTGAGAAATTAGACGAGCACCAACCTATTAATAGGAAATAGATGTGAGAAAACCTCTAAGCACACCAACTTGACACTTCTACAGAATTTAAGACAATTTAGAAAGGTTGCACTCACAAACAAACAATTACAAGCTCATAGAATAAAAAAAACATTAAAACTTTAAAAATATTTACGCGTATTAATATATTTTAAGAGTACAAATTTACACAACGTACTACAAAGAAACATTTAAAATGTTAAAGAACCCTGAAAAAAATAATTATGCGCAGGTAAATCTCAAAGAAATTTCCAGGACATTTTACTCAAACATTGTGACATTTTAAGGCTAACATTGAAAAAAAGCAATTAAGTACCTTTCCAATTTTTTATGTAATGTAATAAAATGTGAATAAATAATTGTCAGCTAAAAATTTACCAAATTAAAATAGCTAATTAAGTTTAGTACAATGCTATTATATACTTACTGCATTTTATAACTTAAAAAAAAAAAAAAAACTCCACAAATGACATCACAAAAATAAAAATATTATACAAACAAAAAAAAACAAAAAAAAGGAGATGACGAACACGTACCACTTCACCAATGAGAGCCGCAAGATTTGGCGCCACCTGGCCCATTTTAGACCGCAAATACTCTTGCAGTCCCTGTCTGTACGTTGTGAGAGACACTACACGGCAGGAGAAACTCTCAATGTTGATCAAGTCAATAGGAGAGATATCCATACCTTTAAAAAAATAAAAAATAAAAAAACTGATGTATAATCTTCTCCCATAAATCACAGGAGCACTTATACTGGTTGAGTTAAAGTGACTCGGTGAGGTACAGTTGTTCAGTTCAGTGAGATATGCTGTCATCACATGGAATCAGTGGATTGACAGATTATAAAAACATCATAACATCCCAGACAAACCCACACTAAGCGGAGGACATCAGTGATCTTGACTTACCCATAGAGCTGCGGGACGCATCGAGGATAGCTTGAGCTTTGCCACTGTCCATTGTGATCTCCTCTATAGCTTCCAGCATCTCCTCAGTCAGTTCCTTCCTGTTCCCGATCAACTTGGCCAGCTTACAGTACATACTGTTATCGTTCACTATCTTTATCAGTTCTGGGAAGTGGTAGCCGTACCATTCACTGCACAGATAAAGAGAGAGAGAGTTCTGATAAGGCTGCATATTTTTGGAAAGACTGCACAAATTGTATGATTACATCTTAATGTAACTACATAATAATATTACTTTTTAAAAAAATCATTCCGTTTATTAGTTATTTTACTGTTTAGACCCAAGAAAAAAAAATTTGAAGTACAAGTTATTAGTATAGTACTTAGTATCATCCCCAAGTTATGCTTACTAGGCACAAAACTACTTTGGCTTCCCAGTCAAGGTCTGTCTCCCCCCTCAGGTTGTGTTCACTCCAGTCTGATGGACCAAACACTCCTGAGAAAGGACTTTACTGTCCCTCCACTTCCTGTACAGCCAGTGCACTAGGGGGGCGCTGTCTGTGGTAAGCATTAGGAGGCTGCTGTATTAGATCCAACTACAAACCCCAGTGGAAGAACATCTTACCGCACACGCATGGAGAACGTGTTGATGTCTTTGTCCAGCTGATCGAGGAGGGCGATGGACTGGATGATCATGTTGTCTGCCCTGTTGACATTGAACTTGACTTTGGCTCTGGAGTAGCTGTGACCCAAACCTAGCTGAGCTTTGGACGCAGCCTGAGCGGTGAGTCCCTTGACCAGGGAATGGAAGTGCAGACGCACACCTGTCAATCACAAGCAGATGCGTGAGAAACAGTCACTTCGGGACTCATAAAACCACACTTTTTTGGCCTGTCTGTTCAGATTTTCAGTATAAAGCATCAGAAATCAGGTGTTATAGGTACATCATTACAGCAGGCTTTTGATAACATTTAGAAATATGAATTTTTACATTAATCACTTAAATCAGGGGATTTCAAAACTTTTCCAAAGTGTGTACAGGGAAATATTGAGAATAAAAGAAATGTTATTAAATATTTTCCAAATAATATTTTACACATTTATAATACAAATGTTCTACAGTAAAAACTGGGTCTTTCATACATGAAAATATATAACTGCCTTTATATGAGGATTATATTTGGGGTCCGTGGCATCTAAAATATTGAAAACCCCTGATTTAAATAATCATGCTCTCTGCTCACCTCTTATGATTTCAGCTACAGCGCCTCCAGTCTGAATGGACAGATTGAGCTCTTCTTGAAGCGCCGCCCCAAGTTTAGCATCTGAAACCCCCAACATTGCCTTCTTTTTACCTCCGGACGGAAGGTTGGTCTCCAAGAACAACTTGAGATCCGCATGGACAACTCCTGTCAGGATCAGATTAGAAACGTGGTGTCAGTAATTGTAGGTTCAAGTTTGTAAGTCAACATGTCAAGCCTCAGATGATCAGTTTGTAGGTATGCTGTCATCACATTGATTCAGTGGATTGACAGATTATAGGTACATCATTGCATCCAGGAAACAGTTTAAAACAAGACCTTCGTCTCTCTTACCTTCTGAGACGGCATTGATGTTTTCCAGTGCACCCTGGGCGGATTTAAAGGGGAAGAATGCACTCAGTTTGATCACGCTACTGAATTTGCCAAGGTTTAGGACACTTTGCTCCACCTATGAAAGTCAAAAGAATTAGTCATTTAGAAGACATTTAAGATTTGAATTCAAATGTATTTAATGTTACATAATGAAAGTAGTGATAGATCTTCTATATTGTGACTTTCATTGGAATGTAATGCATTGCACACTGATGAAACGCTGACAATAACATTTAAAACATACATTTAATTTTTTAATGTCGATTTGAAGTATTTTTACAGATCCAATACTTAGTGCAATCTAGGCATAGCACATAGGTCATGCAGATTATTTTTAAATGGTACATTTATGGGTGGGATTTGAACAAACAACCTTCTGGTTACCAGTCCAGATCTTCACCACGTTGTTGGCATGCACATTTACTTTCCTTTGCACTTCTTCAATATACAAACCTGAGGTAGAAGCATTCCAATGTCCTCCACTTCTTTAACAGCGAATAACGCATATCCAGCTGCATGCTCGAACAACACGTGTAAAAGCACCTGAGAGAGAGAAGGCCAGGTTACTGATCTGCCCTAATAATACCATAAATCACTACTTAAACCAAAAAGGGACAAAGTCCCAAATGCGTCACTCCTACATTAATAACCAAACAAATAATACATTACAAAAGAATACCGTGAATCTGATCTGATGGGGTCGCAGGTCAACACCAACACGTGCATGTAGCCCACATGGCGTTGGCGCCACCAGGTAACGTTACAAGCAACTGCTCAATTTTACGTATTTAATATGATTATACAACATTGCGTAAGCAGAAGATAACAACAGTCGTTAATAAACTACCCCTGTTTAGATTTTATTGCATTAGAGCTTGAAGCTGGAGAGATTCACATTAGCATGGGTTAGCACAGACACACCACGTGTTCCTCCAGCGGATCAAATACTCAGCGAGTGCTACTTTTAAAACTGATCAACATCTCATAGCACTGCGATCTGTACCAGGACATCGATCCGAAACACTAACGAGAGGTGAGTGAAACTTCAGGAGTCCGTTACATTGAATTTAATGGCTGCTGTGGCCTTTAATGGCTGCTGTGGCCTTTAATATCACATTGAGGCCTTGTGTATCCGGTTTCACATTTTATCCTCTCAGACTGCAGTGATTGATTAAATGCAGCTTGTATTGTGCAATCGTATCATACTTGTGCTTAACAGACTACTCAAAACAATGGCAATAACAATAAAACTCAAAGATCTTAAATGTAAAACTATACTACAAACATGCACACTGCCCATTATAAAAGTCCGATTTAAATACAAAGCAATCGTGACATTCAAACCATACTGCAAACACCGATCTGTTCATTTCTAAAGATTGTACAAAGAAACAATGGATTTTTTACCATGTTTACTGATCTCGTGCGCCACGCACGAGGGAGCGTTCCGTTCCTTCGAATCACTTGAAGAGGAGAGAAATCCGCTTGCGCTCAAGTACGAAAACCCACATGATTTAGTCCCGCACGCTATCGCGAGACTTCACAAGTTACTTATTTTGCGGGAATGTGTGCGCCACCTGTTGGAAATGCTTGGAAATGCTAGATGCGTGGCACAGTGGACATTATGTTTGCAGAAAAAAATGCATTACAGAGTAGAGCAGGAAATATTATTAATAAAATTAAAACAAAATATTTGGCATAAATAATGCACATATTTATAATTGACAAAAAGTACCACCTGCACTGCATAGTGTGTAAATCAAGGATAATTCATATTTTAAGCCACAGGGTCATCTTTAAAAAAAATAATAATAAATTGGTGATTGTTCCAGGATTTGAGGTGGTTGGTTTTAGGCAAATTGCTTTGGATTAAAGAATCATAATTGGTGTGAAGTTTTGATGCAAAAAAAGGTCACAATAAAATAAAATACAAAAAATTGGCCGATTAAAAAACAATTGTAATTGACAAAAAGTACCAACATTAAATGTGGTCTAAATGTAATTTGTGTATATGTGTGTATATACACATGTATATGGTGTATGGGTATATATATATGGGGTATATATGTAATTTGTATAGTACTTAAAACCACAGGTAATGGTTTTGAGAAAATTAGTGGTTGTCCCAAGATTTGGGGTGTTTTAGGTAAGTCTAGTTCAAGAAATTTAATAAAATAAAACTGTTAATTATTAACAAAATAAATTAAAATGAAAGAATTGAATATCAGTTCAATAGATTATGTCAAAACTTTGTCATTGTTCTATTTTAATTATTTTATACATTTGAGATTTTCAGTGTTGGGATAGACAGTGTATTTAAATAAAGACCGTTTTCATGCTATGTTAATTTTATGTTCCATTAAGCATATTTTATATGTCTCAAAAGCTATATATATATGCCTCTTCGTAATCTGATTAAGCCCTATTCTTCGTGCTGCAAGCATTTGCCCATAAATGTGACTGTGAGTGTTTAGGAGGGACAAATTGCCAAAATATATTTGATGCAGGAAACATTTCAAGAGTTATGACAGGAAACAGTTCTGGTTGCACACTCATCCATCCACTAATTATCAGACAAATGTGCCATAATGTACCACCCACGGCAATAAATACCAGTGTTGAATTTATTTTAAAAAGAGAGATTTGAATTTATGACTATATATATCCACATCATTGGGGAATGCAGAGTACTCGGAAACAACAAAACACACACACTTAGGAATAAAAGCTATAATTATGCTCTTAATGTTTTAAAATGATGTATATTTTGGAATACTAAAAACTCTTAATAGTTACACATATTGTGCGCTTACATACAAAAACATAACTGTACCATAACAAACACCAAGTCTAAAGTGACTACAACCAAGTTATGTCAAGTCCTTGTAGTGTCTCTTGTCTCCATGGTCAAGGTGGAGGAGTTTATGGAAACATACGTCAGAGATAACACGAGGGTTCCTATAAAGCGGACTGCTCTCTGACCACTGACAGAAACATAAACACCTGTCACAGAGGCCACCCGCATGCTGTACAAAGGTACAACTCTCATTCGTCCAGATTTTATCATGAAAAAATATCCGGTCTCTCATTCTCTCTGCTGTGCGTCACAACTGGAACTCATTTATCAGTTACCATTACACTATGTAATCGGCCATGTTGTGTTTAATACTTGCTGATTTGTGTTTTTATGTCACCCAAAGATGCGCAGAGCAGTTACAGGATGTCTGATGCTGGTGTATGTTGTTGCTCTTCTGGCCGAGCAGGCAGAGGGACACATCGCCTTCTTCAGCCCTAAAGAGATGAGAGAGCTCAGGGTGAGGAGGTCTTTGGCATCCTAATGACTATTTATTTAGCCTCCAATTGAACCAAGAACAAAGTTATTGGGATTCTTTCTTCATCTTCAACAGGAGAAGGAGGAAAGGAAGGATGCTGATCCAAGAGCGGAGGGGGTTTTGATTGACGAGATGTCTCCAGATGAAGATGGAGGAGAGTCAGCGGTGAGGAATCCCTGCAGGTTTTTAAAGTATTTCATAATGTATTTGAGTTTCTGACTGGTTTGTATCCATCTGAAGGGCCAGCCTGTGGAAATAGGGCTGAAGCTGACTGCTAAAAAGGGCCAGATCGGATCTGCTTTCGGTAAGATGCTGCAGAGCATCGTAGAAGAGCCAGAGACCGGTAAGGAGCATACAGTAAAATCTCTTTCTGTTTTTCATATATACACAGACCACGCTAATATTTGTGCTTTGTTTTGACAGTGAAATAAGACCGGCATTTTTATCTGCATTCATTGACTATTGCAGACTGATGATTCAACATTTGTTGCAAGCACACATGTTTTGTCTATGAATGTAATAAAATTAAAATAAAATGAAACTGCATGCAAATTCAGTTTCTTGTCATATATATATATATATATATATATATATATATATTGTAACTCTGGTTTAATCAGAATTTAAACAGTTAAAAAACATGCTAAATTAATTTTTATACTCTTAATTTGCCTCTAAATTTAAATACTTTGTTTCCTGTAATACTAGATTCATAAATATTGTCATTTAATATACCAAATGGTTATTGTAAAATCATGCTTTACATTTTACTCCAAAACCTTGCAATGTGCACTACAGAAGACTCTTATGCTCACCAAGGCTGCATTTATTTGATCCAAAATGCAGTAAAATATGACCCTGGAGCACAAAACCAGTCTTAAGTCGCTGGGGTATATTTGTAGCAATAGCCAAAAAAACATTGTATGGGTCAAAATTCAATTTACCCTTATGACTGGTTTTGTGGTCCAGGGTCACAAATCAGTGATATTGTGAAATATTAATACAATTTAAAAAAAATTTTTTTTCAAATAATAAAAAAAAAATGATTTGAATATATTTTAAAATGTCATTTCTTCCTGTAATGGCAAATCTGAATTTTCAGCAGTAATTACTCTAGTCTTAGTCGCTAGTTATGTTTGTGGAAACTTTGATGTATATGTCTATCAGCTTAATGCATACTTGCTGAATAAAATAATTTCTTTAAGAAATCATACTGACTCCAGACTTTTGAACAATACTGTATAGGATGACATAAGATGACATAGAGCATATGTACAGTATATGTGTGAGTTAAATGTTCGCATGGTTTCAATATGTCCTATATTTAGTGTCAGATTGTGTGGAAGTCAGCATGTTGGTTGGAAACAACAGGATGCATGCCTACATTTGGACATACTTTTACAATTATGGAAGCTTTAGCTGGTATTTTATTGCAGAACTCTTTATAGCAAATAGAGAACATCTGTTAAAACCTTTAGATGTGTCTACAGTGGAAAAGAAGGAATTCACATTGCATTTGAAGAGTTTATCTTCAACAGCCTTTATTCTTTGTCTTATTGGATAAGTTTGAGAGAATGAACTAGCACATTGCAGAAGGTAACATCAAAAGTATCACAACTGAAAGAACAGTTCCCTGAAAAAAAGTTATTGAGATGACAGAATGAGTCTTTATATGTTCTTCATTCAAAGAGGTTTTGAACAATATTTTCTGCTCTATCAAAAAGATTAAAGGGGTCATATGATGCGATTTCAAGTTTTCCTTTCTCTTTGGAGTGTTACAAGCTGATTGTGCATAGATAAGATCCCTGAAGTTGCAAAGACTAAAGTCTCAAAACCAAAGAGATATTCTTTATCAAAGTTAAGACTCTGCCACGCCCCCCTAAAACGGCTCATTCTAACACGCCCCCACATATCTACCCCACTATGTGGAAATATTTGCATAATCCCGCCGCAAATGTGCACGCAAAGAAAGAAGGCATGGTGTCAGTAACCGCAGTTAGTGTTGAAGCAGCCATGTCAAGGAGACGCTGTGTGTTTCTAGGCGAAAGCAAAAGCACTTCATTTGGCCTTCCGAAAGTAGATGCATTTAGGAATCTTTAAGATTACTTACAACAGAACAGCAATGCATTTTATGGACGACCGTTTCGTGAATATGACCCCTTTAACATTACAACAATCTGTAACATCCGTGTCTGACTCGTGTCTGACTAATTGAGCATATGGAACAATTAGTATTGGGCAAAAGTTACATTTCAGCCGGTTTGTTACATAAAGCTTCAAAAGACTTGGAATGTAGCACACGGGTCATATGGACAGCTTATGTGGCAAGTTTGGTCTGTTTTAAGATCCATAAGAAATAATCAAATTAAAATAATTCAAACATAAGAAATAATCCACACAGGTTTGGATGAGTGTTAATAAATCATGATAGAATTTTTGAACAGTCTCTGTAAGGTTTAGCAGTCAGTCTCTCACAAAACTCATATTCCTTCACTCCAAGAGCAGGATCTCTGGCAGGAGGAGCTGGCAAGACCAGGGAACAGTCACTGTTGAAGTATTTTCCACTTATTCCTTCTGCTTCCTCGGACACTGCACAGTATATTGGACTGAAAGACCCTTCTTCAGCAGTCTGTGGTGGAAAAAATGCATAAACACACATAAAGCCAAAATATTCTGCTGAATATTTCTTACAGGCCTATATTGTATACTCTTGTGGGTCCTTTCTAGTGTTTAAATGAAACTTAAGAAACCTAGTTTGGTTGCCAGATTAGATTTTAATTTCACTCCTTCCAGGAAATCTGGCCATTTCTGCTTCTCAGTGAAGCATCACTATTGTTACTCTCATTCTCTCTAGTTTATCTTCCTTTCTTCAACGGTATTATGCCTTTAAGGCAAATAAACATCTGTGATGCATAAAGATGTAGATCCCTTCAGAGGATCCCTTCAAACTTCAGAGGTTTTGGAGTGTTTGTGACCTTGTTCCAGAATGGCAGTCAAAACGAAAAGCACTAACACATTTTATCCACCTACTATGGAAACTAGTGCACTAGTGCAGCCAGAGGAGTTGGCAGGAAGCAGTTGCTGATGTGAAATGTTGAATGTTGTTTACAGTGATTGGATTGATAGTGGGCTCACTTTGAAGAAGAAAAAGCCGACCAAGTTGAAGAGGAATCGGATAATG